AAATTATATTACATATATAAATGAGCCTAATATTAAATGAGTCTAATAAGCTCAAAATCGTTTAAAATCGGTCTCGAGCCTTTTGACATATATATTTCGATGTAAAAACCTTTTATAAACAAATGTTGATCATCCATTTGCGTTTTCTCTTGTTTTGTCGGCTTTGCATAAGGCAACTTTGAAGCAAATGTTGTTCCACTCCTAAACCCCACAAGCCCACATGAGGGAAACCGCAGTTTTTCCCTCATTCCCATCCAAAAACCGAATTGTGAATCGGTCTGAGTGCTTGAAATTAAAATGTTCTGAAATCCATAAGTAAATCAATTAAAATCACACAATGACATCGACATAAACCTATGAAGTATGATCTGATTTCAAACAATTGACCAAAAAACAATTAAAATGCCAATATAATCTCACAAGTTTTTGGCATGAAATTGTTTATTAATGATAATGACTCAGCTCAAATTTGGTGTTGTTGCAAGATCATGAATCGTGATGTATGATATACCAGTTTAAAAGTTTAATTTCCCCTATTAATTAACTAATCTAATTTGATGAAGGCTTGAACTAATTTGAATGTCTGATGACTAAATGTCTATAATGTCATTCTAATTCCACCAATTAATCAATAAAGTAGGATCACAAGTTCACGATAGTCTTGATTACTATTTTGACCATTTAGTCCCCATCCAGGCATATTACAACAAACTTTATGAAAATCTCATATTACAATGAATTGGTTATTTTCACCAACATACATGTGTCAACTGCTTTTCCATTGATTGTGTCATTCAAGGGCCAAGATTGAGATGATTTCTATAATGGTTCAACATTGCTAATACCTTCCTCATTGTTTAGAGCTTAAAAATTTAAACCTGAAGCATCTTTTACTCACAGTCAAAATGAAAAACATGGTGAAGGTGAATCCCTATGGAACGCAAGGGACGTGTTGGGATGAAAAGGGCAATACTGATACTGTGCAAATTCTGATTTCACATGGTTCTTCTGAGGTCAATTCAATCCAATTTGTATATGTTGTAGATGAGAAAGTGGTTTCTCAGAAATGTATGGAAAACCCTTTGGTTTAAAATTCAATACCGTAAGTGTAACTATTACCATGCCCATCTACTCATATCCATTTACCTTTTAATGAACAAAAAGAACTTAAAAAATGCAGGAGACATTTAATTACCCTGAGGAGTATTTGTTTCGGTAAGTGGTTGTAATCAGAATGGATTGGCTTCGATTACATTTGGTTGTACCGGCTATAATAATAAGGGAGAATTTCGTATATACCCTTATTAAACGTCTAAATATCATATTTGTCCGGCTTAAACTCTAAATATCGTATTTGCCCTTCTTAATGTTTTAAAATATAGGATTTGCCAAAATCTATTTTTTAAACAGTTTTTATTATCTAAGAATATTTTTTTATATATTAAAATTATCAAAATAAAAAAAATAACCAAATGGACCATAATACCCTTGAATTCTAAATCACAATAATCCATTATGTGTGAGATTTGGAACCACAACCGATATTCTAAAAGAAATCCCTCCAACAAGTACAGAAGTGATCAAAATAGTGGCACCAAATATGATCATATAAAGAAATCAACAGTTTTTCCCCTAAAACAATTATCTTATAGAAGTTTGCAGTATCGATGCAGAAAAAACATATGAAACAGAAAGTCCAAATCTGTAAAACAATGATGTTAATTATTACTTTATTCCAAGAAAATGAAAGATAAACATTTTGTATTTTGTAAAACCCAATATAAGCTTCCATATGATAATCGTGGCTTGAAAAGTCAAAATTACGTGTATGAATGCTTACCCATCTTGTAAAAATTGAGGACATTGGTCATTGGTGATCAATTGGCAGATTTCATACTGCTTAACAAGAAGTCTGGGATTCAATTACAAGTTATAAGGCGAAATGATCTGCAAAATATTATAAATAACCAGGTTTAATCACTATTTTAGTACCCTCACCTGAATATGATTATGCTTTTCGAGTCATAATAACCACTTTATAGTACTAGTTGAATAAACCTATAAAGAAGTAAGAAACAGTACATGAGATTCTTTACCTTATACGCCCAGAAAGCAGTGGAGATAACAAAATTGTTTAGGTTGCGTTTAGTTACGGAAAAACAGTTTTCATTTTCGGTTTTCATTTTCCGTTTTCATTTTTCATTGAAAAATTTAGAAAACGCGTTTAGTTAAAACTTATTCATTATTCATTTTCAGTTTTAGAAAATTAGAAAACGTTTTTAGATGTGTATTTTTCTATCGGTTTTTATTTTTAGAAAACGGTAGCGGTGGTAGGGTGTGGGTGGGGGCGGTGGCGGTAGCGGTTCGGCGGCGGTGGTGGTGATGACAGGTGGTGGTGGTGGTGGTGGCGGCGACAATTGTGTCAGTAGCGGTGATGGCGGCAACGGCGGCGGTGGTGCTAGTGATGGGTTAGTGGTGGCGGTGGTGGTGATGTTGATGGTAGGTCGGTGATTGTGGTAGTGGTGTTAGGTGGGTGGGTGTGCGAGTGTGTATGTGTATGTATGTGGGGGTGGGGTGGGTGTGTGTTTTGTGGGTAAGGTGTGGGGTTGTGTGTGTGTGGGGGGGGGGGTGTATGTTTATGAGGGTGGGGGTGGTAGTAGGGGTGGGTTTGTGTGTGTATGTGTGGTGTGTGTGGGGGGGGGGGGGTGGGGATTGGGGTGTGTGTGGTGTGTGTGTGTGGTGTGCACATGTGTTTGTGGGGGTGGGTGGGTGGGGGGGGGGGGGGGTGAGTGTGTTTGTGTGTGTGGTGGGGGGGGGGTTGGGTAGGTATGTATGTGTGTGTAGGTGTGTGTGTGTGTGTGTAGGTGGGTGAATATGTATATGTGTGTGTGTGTGTTTATAGATGGGTGTGTGTGTGTGTGTTTATAGATGGGTGTGTGGGTGGGTGGATGGATATGTAAGTGTGTGGGGGGAAGGGTGTTCACGTGGGGGTAGGTAGATGTAGATAGGGTGGGAGTGGATGTGTGTTTATATTTTAGAAAAAATTTGAAAATAGAAAAATATGAAAAACAATGATTATCAGTTTTCCAAAAATTTTCAACTTCTTTGTAATTTTAGGCAACAGAAAATTTTCATTTTCCGTGAAAAATTTAGAAAAATAGACGAACTAAACGCGTTTTAAAAATTATCATTTTTCTTGGAAAATTTTTCCGGAAAACGGCCAATTTTTCCGCAACTAAACGCACCCTTAATTTTTGCAAAACAAATAACATAAATAGGAATCAATCCTTCACCAAAAGTACAAATAAAATTAGAATGACAAAAATAGTATGAGAAGCAATAAAACCAGAAACAGACATCAACAATATCCCTGAATTATGAGGGATTCACCACAGCAACCAAAAGGAAATTGAAGATTGAGAAACAGAAAAAAGGAGGACGACGGAATTACAATCACCTGCAGTTTATACTTGATCATCATGTTATGAGTTCCTGTGATTTTTAAAGCTATACATAGTTATAATCACGAATTGAATAATCAATTAACAAATACAGAACATAAAACTACTTGATGATTATCCGATTGCAGCAAAGAATTGACAGAAGGTTTTAAAAAAAGAAGACGCAGGGTTAAGATATCAATCGTGGTTTCAAATCACACACAGGTAATCGATCGCTATGATTTAGAAGTCTAAGGGTATTATGGTCAATTTTGTTATATTTTTATTTTTGAAGATTTTAATATATAAAAAATGATTCTAAAATAATAAAAACTGTTTAAAAAGTAGATTTTGGCAAATCTGATATTTTAAAACATTAAAAAGGGTAAATATGATATTTAGAGTTTAATTTGGATCCCTCCGATATTTAGACCGTTTCTCCCGATATATATGAAATTCTCCGATAATAATATATCATAATTTGTAAAAATACAAATAGACATATTTTATTAAACATCATAATGGTGTAATCTAAAGTTCTAATTTTCCCTAATTACCCCTAGCCTATTTTTGTACCAAAGTAATTAACATATTTTATTAGACAAGAGTACGGGGCTATAATAATATATAATTATTTTGAAAATCATTTATTATTTTATTTTACTTTTGTAACAAATTAATGATGATCCGATTCTGACATGATACTTGTCATGAACGAAAAATTTCTACCAATCTTTTCTTATTTTAATCGTTTAATCTTTAGATTAAAGTAAATTATAAATGTTAAGTGGTAATATCGCAATTCTTAATAAAATAAGATAAAATCAAAACTAGATTTAACAGAGAATATTACATAAATTAGAAATATTACGCTTAACTTGAACACAATGGTTGACGTATGAAAAATATCATCATGAAAAAATTGAAACTAACCAAATCAGTAGTTATTAATTAAACTCGATATAGCAAAAAAAAAATTAACATTAAAAAAAACTTACACAGATTTTTCATGCATGGATATAGATGACATTGATATTATCTGAATTCTGATTCCAAATATATAAAGATTAAGCATAAGAATGTTATTCGCCTAATTAGGCAGTTATATATAGAAAAGATAATTACAAATAAAAACAAAGATAATTACAAAATCACTTAAGGATTAATAATGTTAGCTCCCCAACATTTATATATAGTTCAAGAATTCAAGAATGCTAATAACTTCCTCAATCTTCAGAGTTTCGAAATTGAACCTGAAACATCATTTACAAGCTGTCAAATGGAAAACATGTCGAAGTTGGGTCCCAATATTATCAAAGGAACAACTTGGGACGAAGGTGGCAAGACTAAAATCATGCAAATTCTAATTTCGTATGGAAAACATACCGTATATTCGATCCAGTTTGTGTATGCTGTAAATGGGAAAACGCTTCCTTCAGAAATCCATGGAAAATCCTGTGGTTATCGTAAGTATTTACATGCATGCATGTACATCTCTTCATCTCTCTTTTATCTTTCACTGAACTGATCATTACAGATTTTACTCCCGAAAATTGAAAAATGGAGGTGACGTTTGATGACCCAGAGGAGTATTTGACTTCTGTAAGTGGTCAATATGGCATAAAGAAATTGAATTCGATTACATTCGGCACCAACAAGAGTAGGTACGGACCCTTTGGAAGTACTCTTAAGAGTTCGGATCCGCAGTTTGTATATAAGTTCATACCCGCGTATTCGTTTGGGGGATTTCATGGTAGTGTTTACAAGTCGTGTCTGTGTTCCATTGGGGTCTATGTTAGGCCCCTTGGATTCATTGCTGAACCTGAAATTGAAATAGATATTGGAAGTGATAAAGGTGAAGATGATGAAAGTACTTCTTCAAGATCGATGGACTAAAAGTAGCAAATTAGTATTTTACTTGTCTTGGTTTTTAATCAAATCCCATATGCTTATTGACTTTCGTAATATGCAGGGTATTTTTTGTCATCATAGATCATATATTGTTTTTGGTTTTTTCTTTTTGTTACTATCATTTTGTTACATGCGTGAAATCTGCGATTTGAATCATTTTATGCTTCTTTGGTATATAAAAAAAAAATTGTTGGTTAACTAAGTTATAATTCGTGTATTATCTTAAAACAATTTTAATATTTTTTGTTTAGTTAATTGTTAATTTAAATTAATTTTAAAATATGTTTTAAAGATATAAGCAACATTATTTATGTATATATATATTACTCATAAAATTATTATGTTGGATAATGATATATTGAAAAAATAAATAATCAACCATGGAAATATTATAGTAATAATATATGAACACAAAAGGATTAAAATTATATATATATATATAATATAGCATATATATATATATATATATATATATATATATATATATATATATATGAGACTTTATTTATGATTTAAAAAATAAAATAAAGATCTTGATCATAAATGATTATATGGCAAAATGGTATAATTATATATGATTATAAATGTTTATACATATATGGCTAATCATAAATGATTATATATACGTCCGTTAACATGTATAGGTGACAAAGGTGGCAGTAGTGGGGTCGGTTGGTTGTAAAGGTGGTGGTTGGGTTGACTCAGTTAACTCAGTTGACTTTGACCAAGTTTGACCAATGGGTATTTTGGGTATTTTGGATGGTGTTTGAGAATTAGTCATTTGACTGGATATATGACGGTTAGAGTTGAGATTCGGAGCAAGGACCTCATGAGCTATTGTTCAGATCGAGAGGTGAGTTTTCCTCACTGTACTTATGGGTCGAAGGCACCAAGGTCGACCCATTGGATTAATATCCTGCTATACATTGATATGTTGAGTATGTGTAACACTCGGTTTCGAATCGTTTCATTATTCGGGTCCGTGGACCGATCATCGGCTATCTTAAGGATTCGGGCCTTGGGGGAAGTGAGATTTAGCCCTTTTTGGATCGGGGTATTATAGACTAAGTGATCCGAGTGTTCGATTGTGTTTCGGAGCCTAATGGTATAATCATAATTTGGTAGTCCGGGCCTTTATGAATTTTAATTTTTTGTTCAGGGAGTTTTAAGGTAAATGTGAGTTGATAGAAGCGTAGGTCTTCTCATCGCCTTTCCGTAGATATAAAGTTCGTCGGAAACAGACTTAGAACGGAGGAGTTATGGTTAATTGAAGTTTAAGTGTTGTCGAAGGTTCATCGAGTACACGGGGCTTACTCGTCGTGTACGCGAGGCGTAATGGGTGAGAATATCGCGGAGGCCCTTCGAGTACGCTAGGCGTACTAAGGGGTATGCCGGGCGTACTCCCTTCAGCATGAAACCCTAATTTTGGTGTTTTACCCCTATATAAGCATCATTATATCTTTCCTTTGGACATTTTAGATCAACCTCTATCCCCTTTAGTCTAATACTGAAACCCTAGAGTGCCTTGAGTGAGTTTTGGAGCTTCGAACAGTGTTTGTGGTGGTTTGTGTAAGAGAAGAAGAAGGTTGAAGACTCATTCTTTGGAGATGAGCTTAAAGATCCAAATTCAGTACCTTCATTTCGTGACTTTTGAGTGCGAGGATTCTGGTGGCAACGGCTCGAGTATTCGGTTATCTTGGATTGATGTGAGTCTCCTCACTATATCTATGGGTCAAAGGCACCAATGTCGACCCATTAGCCAATGTTTTGTTGAAAGACCAAGGGGTGGCCCTTGGTATTGAATGAAAGACCCGAATATATGCCAAACTCGTACTAATGGCTTAAGGGTATTCCAGTCTGATGACTAAGTACACCGACTGTATATTGGCATTCTAGTCCAATGATTGATTGGGCCAGGGGTAAGCCAGATATAAGCTGTGGGCCCCGAGGGCAAGCCAGACTTATGTTGTGGACTCAGGAACAAGCCAGATATGAGCTGTGGGCTCAATAGGCAAGCCAGACTCATATTGTTGGCTCAGGAGTAATCTAGTCTTTTAGTTGTGGACCAAGTGCATGCTGTTATTTGTTATGTTTTAGTGGTGGTACTTTGCGGGAAACTCACTAAGCGTTGGCTTACAATTTTTAGTTGTTGTTTTAGGTACTTCTGATTATCGCGGGAAGGCGAAGGCGTAACTATACACATCCTCTTTTTATGGCTTTATGATTTTGGGATACTCTTATATGGATAAACAATTTGGAAACAATGAGTTCGTAAACATTTTATGACTATGAGTTGTTTTTAAAAGTTTAAATTTTTTGTGATTTTTGGGATGTTACATGCGCGACATGCATCCCATTTGCTCGTCGTGCACCCCCAAATCGGCTATAAACAGGAGGCAAAGCCTTATTCTTTCTCCCACAACTTCCTAAACACTCTATCTCGATTTCTTTCAGTTCTAGCCCATTTTCTCTTACTTTTAGTCTTCGGCGAAGCCCTACGATCCCTGGAGTAGTAATAGCTAGCGAGTAGAAGTTCTATCAGTGCAATTTCCTAACTTTGTCAGGAGAATCCTTGTAATTAAAGCTACACTCTCGTTCTTTCAGTGTAACTTATATTTATAGTCATAAGTCATTGTTATGAACCTATAAATAAGATTTATCAATAATTCCATTTCGTTATACTGATTGATCTACTTACGAGAGAAGTGTCTAGAATAGTCACGTTGGCTTGGTTGTTGAATTTCAGAAAGGCTATATGCCGAAATGATCCTGCCTCCCAACTGTCCTGCCAGGCTGATCCTTACTTGATGGATCTTGATGTAGATATTGAGATTAGTGAGGAATCTAGACTATAATTATTATAGTCACCAAGATTACGAAACTAGACTAAAGCTTAGTAGTTTATGCATCTAGGTCTTTTCAAAGTACGAAGCGAAGCTCTGCCAAAATCACCACTCACTCATATTTATCAAGTGAGTGCATAATTACTTTCATCTTACACATAGATATGAAGTATCTAGATAATTACATGCTTATGTGCTTACTATTTGTGCCAGAAAGGTTATGTGTTAGATAAAATAATATAAGATGACATTTGAATTGATCTAATCATATAACTATTATACAATTATAACTATGTATTGGGTTGTGATAGGAGATGGTAGACAGGTGATAATAGATAGGTGGTAGTAGACAGGTGATGATAAATAGGAGATGACTAGGAGATGCCCTGACCTTGACTTGTGATGTAGTCATCTACTAAAGTATAGATGGCGACCACTTACTAATCTAAACAAGTCATGTGGAAACACCGACAGACTCATAACTTGTAGGTGATGAATTACGAGTTCAAGCGTTGTAGTAACTATGTATTCATGCCATGATACTCTAACCTTTACTGGATATGTATTGGGCGAGTAATCCCCAAAACAGTACTGTCTATGCGATGTAGGCGATGATCCTTAGGAAAAGTCATTATCAATAAACATATAAGGAAATGCAATGTAGGCGATGATAGATAAATTCAATGTAGGTGATGTCCCTTAGGATAAATCCTTAAGGAAGAATAAATAGTAAAGCATGGATGCGTAATTGGGTTAATTGTTTGATAATTAAACATATTCACTATATTATTTTGGTTGAAAACCATATGTACTCATCAGGTTTTCCAACTTGACCCACTCAGTTTATTTGTATCACAGGTATCGATGCAGAGATACATTACACTGAGAGATTAAAGGAGATGCAGATCATTAGTATAAATTAATGTAAGATCTGTTTATGTTTATGTTTTGTATCAGTTATGACATACCAAGATTTTATAAATTAATGAAAAACATTTACTCGAAAATACTTTTACGGGACCAAATTTCTCATTTATAAATAAACTCTGTTTTAAATAAGCATAAATAAAAGTTTCAAAACGGACGTAAATTTGGGGATGTCACAGAAATCCACGATAAAGTCCTAATATTTTGGGTCAGTTTACGGTTTAATCCAAACTTTTGTTTTTTTGAACGGAAAAGTCCCAATTATTTTCTATTTTTCCCATATTAACGTAACAACCCTTATTTTTTCCAACAAAAAATAATAAATTGTTGTATAAAATAAGATTGTCGGGGTTTTTTTCTCGAAAAGTAAATGTTGAGACTAAACCGTAAACTAACCAAAAATATTGAAATTTTATCCGAGATTTCCCTTTTATTTTTTTAAATATAAGTAAATAATTAATAATTGATAAAATGTTTTAAAAAATAGTAAGGGCAATATAATCATTTCAGATGTAACATGGACCAAAGACCCAATGAAATTAAATAGTAAGGATCTTCCGAGTAAAAAAATGATTTAGGGATCAAGTGTGCAGATTACCCCAAACCATAGGGACCGTTCGTGCAATTTACTCATTTATTTATTAATGAAATGTTATCGGTATTTGTTTGATATTGTTATTTACTTTTTTTTAAATTAGTTTTATATATTTTTATTTTTTATAAAATAAAGTGTGGGAAGGTATGACCATATGGGATAGAAAGATGATGTGTTAATCGTTTTGTGTTTGGGATGAAGTTAGAAAACAGATAAAAGTAGATGTGCACATTGGGATGGATGGATGGAAACATTCCCTCCACCCTAACATAAATTTAACAGGAGCATAAAAAATATGGTGATGAAAAGCAAACAAACTCCTGAAATAAGGATAAAATATAAAAATAACTTTTCTTTGGACCCAAACCATAAAACATTACATACTGAAGGGATCATTCGTGGAGTACACTCTAATCTTTTAAACCTTAGCCTTTCAACTTTTCACTCCCTAACAAACGATATATAGCTAGTCCGAATTTATAGTTCAAGAATGCTAATAAATTCCTGATTCTTGAGGGTTTTGATATTCAAACCTGAAGCATCTTTTAGTCGCTGTCAAATGGAAAACATGATGAAGTTGGGTCCCAAAGAAATGAAAGGATCTATTTGGGACGACCGTGGCAAGTCTAAAATCGACCGAATTCTAATTTCATATGAAAACTATGGTGTCTATTCGATCCAGTTTGTATACGTTGTAGATGGGAAATTGATTCCTTCGGAAATCCATGGAAAACCAAGTGGTTTATATTTTGATATCGTAAGTATTAACTACCATGTCCATATCTACTCATCTCTCTTTAACTTTCATTGAACTGAAAAACAGTTGTTACTTTCCGGAATTGGAAAATGCAGGTGAAGCTTGATCACCCAAGGGAGTAATTGACTTCTGTAAGTGGTCAGTATGCGAGTTATTGGTGTGGCAGATTGGTATCGATTACATTTGGCACCAACGTACGTAAGTATGGACCCTTTGGAAGGGTCGGATATGATGGTGTTTACAGTTCCCATGTACCATTACCATTTGCATATAATTTCGGACCAAATTGTTCGTTTGGGGGATTTCATGGAAGTGATGACAACTCGTGGCTTTACACCATTGGGATCTATGTTAGGGCCACTGGATCGGTTGCTGAATCTGAAGCCGATATTGGCAAGATAAAAAGTGAAGAAGATGATCAAAGTTGAAAGAGCTTGTTTAAAAACCAATGGAATAAAGCAGTGAAATTAAATTTTATCACTTGTAGTCGAGTGATTACTCAGTCGTTTACCACTAATTAGTTAGAAGGTTACTTTAATATGTTTATTTAATTATTGAGTTTTGCATAGGGGTATTCATCATCACTGGATATCCAATGTTATTGTTATTGAAATGATGTAATTCAATCAATAATTAGATGTTGGATTCTGCCAACCGAAATCAAGGGAAATTAAATAATCTAACCAAATTTGGAGGGTATTTTGAATATAATAACCACATCTAATATGTTTTTGAAAAATAACCACTCACATCGAAACGAGTATTCTCCAGAAGGCAAAACGAGGCCAAGCTTAGTATTATAGTTTGAATGTGTGTGTATATATATATATATATATATATATATATATATATATATATATATATATATATATAGGGGCCACATATGAAAATACCGGACAAAGGTGATTCCAAAATTCTTGTAACCTAAATATTGAAGATTTTGTGTTTTATACCATGGATTTAACAAACAAACAAAGCTAGTTTTACTGATCAATTAAGTATATAAACGATTTTATGTAGTCTAGAATGTGTGGATCTAGTCTGGAATGTGTGTAATATCTCCATAATAACATATTGCATGCATCATTATTGTTACTTTAGTGTTGGTTATATATTTAATTTGATTCCGAAATGTGAATTACGAGTCCAGAATACAAAGAATTACTCCGGAACGTTTGAAATATGAGGAACAACTCCAGGACGTCCAAATTTTTTTTATATGACTTGTATTTTCTCATATTGTTAAATTTTGAAGTAATATTGATTTGCATCATACCAATACCACCGAATTAGTCTGAATTCAGAACCAATGCGTTCGAAAGTGCTCATTATCAATTTGTGTGGATGTTGCTTAAAAAATGGGTTTTACGGATAAAAAGATTATATACCATCTACAACAACTTAGGTTTTGGATTATTTTTCCAGAACAAAATCGCGGATGTAGAAATAGCAAAAGTGTCACACTTTACCACCAAGCCGAAACATTAAAATAATAAGGATATCAGAGACTGTGTTAAAACTTTTAAATTGAAAGCAGATAAAACTCCGAAAGACGGGACCAGATCTAGTTTAGACAGATATGTTATTTTAGACTAGTTTTGTTTTATAATTTTTGTTATGAATATATTTAGAATCATTTCACTTTAAAAAAGGTTTATAAATTGTTTTATTCACATTGTCGTACATCCAATGATTCGAGTGATAACCGCCAATATAATATGAATTGTTGAGCCTTGATGGCCAATGGAGTATTGTTGATACGAACGTGTTAGAAATAAATCATGATTTTCATTTTTCAACGTGCAAAAAAACAAATAGTAATACTGAAAATCTAATTATTACCTTTTGCAGCCAAGGAACATAAAAGAGTTAGCATTGTATAATATGCAAATGGTCATCATCACAATGTCCGAAGATATACAACAGTTTGTCAACACAATTGACATCATCGACGAAGCATGTACAACATTACCAATAATAGAAGAACGAGTGGAAATGATTGATATTGTTCTTTATAATCGAAAACTACAATGAGTTTTTTGAAAATGATACAGACTGTGCTAGTTTATTCTAGTTTATTGAAATATTTTAATTAATGTTAATATTATCATTATTAGTTTTATACTTTTTTGTATAATTAGTTTGCTATATTTTTATTTTAGTAAAAAATTTGTGTGAAGTAACGTGGGATAGAAAGATAACCATTTACAAAGTTTTGAAATGGTTTTGCAATAAAGTGGAAAAAAAAATTTTGATGCAACTATTGGTAGACATTAGGTTGGATGGATGGAAAAACGACAATTCCCTCCATCCTAATGTAAACCTAACAAGAGTATAAATGAGATGGTTTAGTGGCGAACTGTGAAGCTTGTTTATCTTCCGGCTCGATGTAAAAGTTTAAGAAGTTTAATTATTAAATACTTATGTTAAAAATAAAATAATTAAACATTTTCGGAACCAAACCATAAAATAATTAAGCATTTCTGCAGTACACTCTAATCTTTTGAACCATCACCCCTCAATTTTTCACTCCCTAACAAACAATAATTTTAGCAGGATATATTATATTTATTGTGATATATCCCGCCAATAGATATATAGTGATATTTTTAGCAGCATATATTATATTTATTGTGATATATATACTGCTAATAGAAGTATAGTTAGTTAATCCGAATTTATCTTGATATACATCCTCCTAATAAATGTGTAGTTAGTTTGTCCGAATTTATCGATCCAGAATGCTAATAAATTCCTTATTCTTTAGGCTCTAAAATTCAAAACTGAAGCATCTTTTAGTCGCCGTCAAATGGCAGCCATGATGAAGTTGGGTCCCAGAGAAATGCAAGGATCGCTTTGGGACGACCGTGGCAAGTCTAAAATCGACCAAATTTTTATTTCATTTGACAACTTTGTCGTCTATTCGATCCAGTTTGTATACGTTGTAGATGGGAAACTGCTTCCTTCAGAAGTCCATGGAACACCCTGTGGTTCGAAATTTGATATCGTAAGTATTAACTACCACGTCAATCTACTCATCTCTCTTTCAACTTTCATTGAACTGAAAACAGTTTTTCACTTTCGGGATTTGAAAAATGCAGGTGAAGTTTGATCACCCAAGGGAGTATTTGACTTCTGTTACTGGTCGGTTTACCAGGTATCGGAATGATAGATTGGCTTCGATTACATTTGGTACCAACAAACGTAAGTATGGACCCTTTGGATGTGTAAGAAATGATATTTTACTTTTCTATTTACCATTTGAGTATAATTTCGGACCAAATTGTTCGTTTGGGGGGTTTCACGGCAGTGATTACAACTCGTGTATTCATGCCATTGGGATCTATGTGAAGGCCGCTGAAACTGAAAAAAAACCTCCCACGATCATAAAAATTGAAGATGATGATTAAAGTTGAAAGCACTTGTTTCAAAATCAAGGGAATAAAATTTTAGTTGTAGTCTAGAGCGCATTATTATTATGTTATCAATTGTAATCAAGTGATTAAGCAGTCACGCGTTTAGCACAAATTACGATAAATGGTTCCATTACTTTGTTGATTTAATCAAATTCCATATGCATGCTTAAGGTTTTTTTTTTTTTTTTTTTTGTTAGCATCAATTTGTTTTTTTTTTTTTTTTTTTTTTCCCGATGGTTTGAAGCTGATTTTTTCAAGTTGTGTTTTGATGAGTTTTTGACCATAATAGGATGGATGGAAAAAATATTTACCATTTTAGTATTATTTCAAAACTATTTACCATTTTAGTGTTTTTCTCCTTTTTCTTTATTTTTTAGTTTCCTTTTCAGTTTTTTTTTTAATTTAAATATCTTATTTTTCTTTTTTTCTTTTTTATTCCACCTTTTTATTGTTTTTCTCATTTTTCTTTACTTTTTAGTTTCTTTTCAGTTTTTTTTTTAATTTAAATATCTTATTTTTTTCTTTTTTATTCAACCTTTTTATTGTTATATATATATATATATATATATATATATATATATATAAATGACAGCTTTCATTTTAGTTTTTTTTATCCTTTTTTTACTGTTTTTTAAATATATGTTTTTTATTTATTTTTTTCTGTTTTATTTAAATATCCGATTTTCTTATACAACCTTTTTACCATCAAATTTTAGCCTCAACATTAAAAAATCATCAAAAACCACCACTATAATCAAATTTTAAGGTGCAAAAATTCCAACATTCACATACAATGTTTTTAAAGTGAAAAAAAAAATCTCAACATTGTTTCTTACAAAAAAAACACCACAAAAAAAACTCCAACATTGTTTATTACAAAAAGAAAAACATCACAATTAGCTTCATCTTGAATCGGTAAAAAATCATTACCTGTAAAAAAAATAATAATAACAAGAGAATAACTATAACAAATACCATAAAAATATTATTTTTTTAAATTACCTTGGCATAGACGGACATCGTTTTCGATTATGTCCCGGTTAAATCCACGTGCTCGAGAATGGTTGGAGAGTCATCCACTTAATAGATGTCCGTCTATGCCAAGGTAATTTAAAAAATAATATTTTTTTTTTACAGGTAATGATTTTTTAACAGTTCAAGATGAAGCTAATTGTGATGTTTTTCTTTTTGTAATAAACAATGTTGGAGTTTGTTTGTGGTGTTTTTTTTGTAAGAAACAATGTTGAGATTTTTTTTTCACTTTAAAAACATTGTATGTGAATGTTGGAATTTTTGCACCTTAAATTTTGATTATAGTGGTGGTTTTTGATGATTTTTTAATGTTGAGGCTAAAATTTGATGGTAAAAAGGCTGTATAAGAAAATTGGATATTTAAATAAAACAGAAAAAAATAAATAAATAAAACATATATTTAAAAAACAGTAAAAAAGGATAAAAAAAACTAAAATGAAAGATGTCATTTATATATATATATATATATATATATATATATATATATATATATATATAAAACAATAAAAAGGTTGAATAAAAAAGAAAAAAAATAAGATATTTAAATTTTAAAAAAAAACTGAAAAGAAACTAAAAAGTAAAGAAAAATGAGAAAAACAATAAAAAGTTAAAAGAAAAAAGAAAAAAAATAAGATATTTAAATTAAAAAAAAACTGAAAAAGAAACTAAAAAATAAAGAAAAATGAGAAAAACACTAAAATGGTAAATAGTTTTGAAAGAACACTAAAATGGTAAATATTTTTTCCACCCACCCTATTATGGTCAAAAACTCGTGTTTTGATCCTGCCACAGAATAATTAATGTATGCCCCTCCACTTATTTATGATATTGAAGAGAGAGAAAGATTAAAACCATATACCTTTTTTATCAATAAAATCTCACGATTACTTATGCTTAAGATTTGAATAAGTTTAAATTAATAAATGATGGAGAGTTGATTAACACATTTTGAATCAAAATCAATTCAAGTTTATATTCAA